TAATTAGGAATATTACAACTCTCCCCTCTAAAAGAAATTTGGTCCTTAAATTTGTCTGTCTCTCACTTAATCAAACAGTTGGAGATATTGGGCTCTGAAGTACGATTTTAGTTCCCATGTGGCCTCTCCCGGTGTGTGGTTATGTCATAGGAGCTTAACAAAAGGAATTTTCTAATTACAGAGTACTCTACTCTTTCAATCCACAATGCTGACTGGTATCTCCTCGTAGGACAAATCCTCGTGAAGCAAAAGAGGCTTGTGGGCCAGGATGTGAGAGGGCTCCGGGTTATACTTGCGTAGCATGAACACATGGAACACATTATGGACCCTGAATAGTTCTGGAGGCAGTGTCAGTCTGTAGGCGGCGAAACAAATTCTGTCTAAGATTTCAAATGGCCTAATGAACTGAAGTTTTAGTTTCTCCATCTTGCCAAACCTATTGATTCTTTTGAAAGAAGTGACCTTAAGGAACACCTGATCACCTTTTTCGAATTCCAAATAACTTTTCTGGGTATTCGCATAACTCTTCTGCCTTTTCTGAGCCGTCAGAATGTTCTTCCTAATCTTAACTATTTTGGTTGTAGTCTCCTCTATTAGATCTGAGCCGAACAGTTTTCTATCACCCATTTCTTCCCAACATATTAGTGATTTTCATGAGTGGCCATACAACGCCTCGTACGGAGCTATGTCAATACTTACTTGATAGCTGTTGTTGTAAACAAACTCTATCAGGGATAAATGATCATCCCAATGGCCCCCGAAGTAAAGAACACAAACTCAGAGCATATCGTCAAGTGTGCGGATCTTTCTTTCTAATTGTTCATCGGTTTGAGGGTGGAATGCAGTACTAAGGGATAATTTCGTTCCCATGGTTTGGTGAAAACTAGACCAGAAGTGAAAAGTGAACTTGAGGTCCATGTTGGACACTATTGTCACTAGCACTCCATGTACCATGACAATCTTTCTGATATACATTCTTGGTTGCTTATCCAAGGGGTTGGTCATCCTGATGGCTAAGAAGTGGGAAGACTTGGTGAGCCGGTCAACAATTACCCAGATGGTATCATGTCCTGAGCGTACCCTAGGCAATCCTGTCATGAAATCTATTGTGATATGTTACCACTTTCACTCTAGAATTAATAATGGCTGAAGTAGCCCGCCTGGGCATTGATGCTCTGTCTTGACCTGTTGACATACCAAACACTTAGAAATAAAGTCGACCACATCTCTTTTTATCCCGTTCCACCAAAATCGGGGTCGCATACTTTGATACATTTTAGTGCTTCCGGGATGCATGTCAAACTTTGAGTTATGCACATTTGTCATGATGTCCCTTTTTAACTCACTGTCACTTGAAATACACACCATGTCCTGAAATCTAAGCAATCCATCGGTAGATAATCAAAATTCTAAATTAACTCCCTGTTCTGCATCTTTCTTGAGGGCTGCTAGAGTGGAAGTGGTGGACTGAGCTTCCTTTATTCTCTGGATTAACTCAGGTTGAACAGTCAGGGGGTAAAGCATGTGACTCTCTTCAAGTCCTGAAGTCGTACCTGTTGAGTAGTCCATATTACCCTGCATTCTGAAACCATTAAGTGAGCTAATATGCCTGCACTTTTTCTACTGAGTGCATCGGTTACCACATTGTCTTTACCTAGGTGATACAAGATGTTACAATCATAGTCCTTGAGAAGTTCTATCCATCTTCTCTGACGCATGTTCAGATCCTTTTGAGTGAATATGTGTTTCAAGCTCTTATGATCGGTATAGATCTAGAATGTCTCCCCATATAAGTAATGGCGTCAAGTCTTCAAGGCGTGAATAATTGCAACAAGTTCTAAGTCATGGGTGGGGTAGTTTTTCTCATGACTCTTCAACTGCCTGGACTTGTAGGCTATAACTTTTCTATGCTGCATCAAAACACAATCTAACCCTTGGTAGGAGGCATCACTATAAACTGTATATCCACCCGATCTGTTCGGCAAAGCCAACACAGGTACAGTAGTCAACTGTTTTTTTAGTTCTGAAAAACTCGTTTCACAGTGCTCGTTCCACTCAAACTTAATATTCTTCTTTGTGAGCCGAGTTAAGGGAGTAGGTAGGCTAGAAAATCCCTCCACAAACCTGCAGTAATAACCTGTCATTCCTAGAAAGCTACAGATCTCCTTGACCGAGGTTAATTTTTTCCAGCCGAGCATTGCCTCAACCTTTTCGAGGTTCACTGACACTCTATCCTTTGATATGATGTGCCCTAAGAAGGTAGTTTGCTCGAGACAGAACCCACACTTACTCAGTTTTGCATACAACTTC